AGTGGAAAAAGTCTTACACATACAGGATGTGATTGTTTACTCTGACTGCCAAAATCATGTTCACTAGTACAGTGGTTCTCAACTGATATTGCCTCAGAATTTTACATTATGACACTTAAGCTAAATAGTTCATCATACAAAGGTAAAAAAAAAAAAAATTTGATTTTTTCTTAGTGTGCAGCTTTTTTTGTATGTCTGGGTTTTCAAAGACGTGGATTTAAAATATATATTTGTGTACTATCACTGTCCTTATATCAGTGGTCAGATAGCACATGTCTAACAGTGGAAAAAGTCTTACACATACAGGATGTGATTGTTTACTCTGACTGCCAAAATCATGTTCACTAGTACAGTGGTTCTCAACTGATATTGCCTCAGAATTTTACATTATGACACTTAAGCTAAATAGTTCATCATACAAAGGTAAAAAAAAAAAAAAGTCCATACAAATCAAACAATCTGAATTTATTCATATTAATATCTACTGCTTAAGCCCAGACATATGCACAATTATTAATGTAACAAGATGAATAGGAAAATTTATATATTTTGTAAAAATGAAACAAGTTTGTGAATGTTTTTTTTTACTTTTTAATACATTTTTATTTATTTATTTTACTATTTGCATTTAGCACAGACTTTTCCCTGCTGTCCGCTGTACTATCAAAACAGACCTACGACTCACCAGTTAAGAACCCCTATACACATACTCATGTAACCGGGCTCATACAACTGTGCGCTCTTATAAACATGCATGTCCCAGGCGGATGCATAAACACGCTGTTCTTTGATAACTACAACCATTTACATTTGCAGTTAAATTACTCTATTTTTGTAATTCAAGACCCACACAAACAGCTTTTCCAGGAGTTTCAGGGACTGTTCTGTGCACTGAGCCATCTGTGCAACACAGCAGGCACAACCTGCACCTTGTTAAAAGGCATAGCTTTTGTCAAGTAATTCACAAATTTATATTGTGAGTCACTAAATAAAGGGTAGAAAGGTGAAGGCTATAACGTCAATCTAAACATAAAGCAAAGTCTATCACATTGAGACGGTGTCGAACTTTGGAATGTTCCAGCGTTGTCTGCTTTAACATTCTTTATTTAAACTGTAGCAAACATTGTGTGCTATTGGCTGCAGCTCTCTAATCCCGTGGTCTTTTCCAGATAATATTTGTACATTTATGAGATAGTGTTTGTAGTAAAATTGCCATAAATCTTGAGAATATTAGCACTCTGTGGTGTTAACAAATTGTTGTCCTTTGAGCCAAACAACTAAATGATAAGAGAGATTGCTATTTACATAGTTTCATTTTGAATCTTGTGCTAGACAGTCTATTTTTTGAGACGTCAAGCATGTTTTGCGAAATGCATGCACTGGACTAATACAATCACACTACTAACAAGACTTATGTTTTATTCAACTATTGATTGATAAAAAATAATAATAAAAAATAAATAAATAATAATAAAACTTTAACAAACAACATCCAGAGCAGACTTTAAGTGGCCCAAATTGCATTTTATTGCATATCATATAATTGTATGAAATGAAAATAAGCATATATGAACATCACATATGGTTAGTGAGTAAAATAATTTTGCACAGCAAAATATATATGAAAAAAAATTAACATAGTTTTAAGAATTTATTGATGAACTGTATATCCTGATTTTATACAAGCAGGGTATCAATCCCTGACCATAAAACAATGTCCAGACATTTTAATATTGATTACTACATTATTGCCATGTAAGTAATGAATTTATTAACAAGAAAGAAAGAAAGAAAGAAAGAAAGAAAGAAAGAAAGAAAGAAAGAAAACCGAGTCCTGCTTGACAATATATATCTAAATAAGATTATATCCTTTAGTTTTCAGCAAAGCCATGATGGTGCCTTTTAAATTAGCGTTCTAGATAGATTCCAATATGTGATATATAATTTGCTACAAGCTTAGTGCAACTCATTCCAAATAGGTCAGATTTTACATCAGACATTTTTTTTCTGAATGCATGATGTTGACTTGAAATTCTACTTTAATACTTTGGTTTTAAAATACAGTAAATGGCAGGCTACAACAGGAACTACAACTGTCAAACTGTTGTTTTCATTGCAAGCACATGCTGCAAAAAGCTCAAGTTACGCACAATAAAAATCCAGCTGTATGCAAACTTGGAGCCTTCCCAAACGTCTAACAAAATGATCAGGCAATATCTAAAATCTAAGTCAACCTGTGGCATGGGCTACCTCTAACTGTGCCATGACCATATGATGCAAAAAAAAATGTAGTTCATTCCAGAGTTATCAAAATGCAAAGATTTGATATTAAATACACAAACCGCTTTTAGCAACAACACTGTTTATGTCTCAGAGGGAGAATTCCTTTCAGAAACCAGGTCCTTGTTCTCTCCCTCGCAACACTGCTTCCAGTTGGCTCTCAACAGAGAATTAACTGCATGGAAACCGTATGGATCAACTTTTTCATGGGGATGATGGCATGATGCTCCTTTCACTTTTTTTAGTTCGTATTCCAAAAAAGTGATCGGGAAATGAAAGATATGTATGAATGCCATGCGGAGCATAAGTTCTTTTCCAAGTAGAAGTTCATTTTCAAGAGCATAAAAAAACAGAGGGGGGATAAAGAAAGAAAAAAAGACCATACATGTCCAGCATGCAGGCACTTTAATGACATGTCTCTTTATATAGTTTATAGATTCTCATGTAAAGTCACAAAACAGCAAGCAGAAGGCATGAGATGATAAGGGGGGGGGGGAAGGCATCCTTTGACTTTGGCAAAAGAGCAAAAAATACATATATGAAAAAAATAGCAAACTTTCATATTTGGCAAAAAAGTGAATGAAGGTCAATATCATGAGTGTATATGCATACACATCAAAATATTAACTAATTTAGAGAATAATATAATGCATATGCAGAAAGAAAAAAAAATATATATTTTTGGATGCACAACAAGCCTCCAAAATTCAAGAAGAGCTGACTTCAGTTCTTAAAAAAAAAAATTAAAGAGGTTGTCAGCCTTGATCTGACAAAACCCCCAAAACAGAAAAAAACCTTTACAAACTTTATTGATTTCTTTTTTTTAGGCTTTATAGGGAACTCACATGAAATACTCCGGGGATGAGGGGTTGTTGTCGCTGCTCGACGAGTTTTCTCGGAAGCCGCTGCTCACGAGCTTCTCGTACTTCTCTTTGTACGCGTCTCTCTCACGCACCAGTCTGGAGATCTCTTGTTTGAGGTGGTCCACCTGCTGCATGAGCTGGGTCTTCTCGCCCTCCAATACGTGCTTCTGTTGGACCCTCTTGTAGCGACACGACTGGGCATAGCCTCTGTTTTTGAGGGTTCTCCTCTTCTGTTTGAGTCGGATCATCTCCTCTTTGCCTACGCCGCGCAGCTGCCGGTTGAGCTCCCGCACGGACATGGTAACGAGTTGCTCGTCCGAGAAGCGGTCATCCAGGTGGGAGTGCTGGTGGTAGGCGGCAGAGGAGTTGTTGCTGGACTGGACCCCGGGAGTTTGGTGCTGCTGGTGGTGGCTGTGGTGATGATGGTGGTGGTGGTGGTGAGGTGCCCCGTTCTGCGCTGCAGCGGCGGCAATGACTGCGGACACCACCGCGGCGGCGGATCCCATCTCCTCTCCGGCCATGGCGCCTCCCGTCCCGGCTGCGCTACTGAATTGCTGGCCTCTAGCATAGCTGTCGAAGCTCTGGAGCTGATGTGTGCTGTTGATCAGCGCTTCAACCGCGTCCTCTGGACTGAAACCCAACGCCTCCGGGTTGAGCTGCTGCTGATAACCAGTCATCCAGTAGAAATCATCTAGGTGCGCCTTCTGCTCGCTCCCGGAGCCAGGGCTGGGCGCCGAGAAGCTTGGGGAAGGGGGAACCGAGCTGCAGGGCGTGCTCATCGGGGTGGAAGACAGGGAGCCCCCGGCGATCAGGCGGCTGCACTGGCTGATGCTGCGATCGGGCTCCAGTGGCTCTTTCTTCACCTCAAACTTCATCAGATCGAAGTCATTAACATATTCCATGGCCAGGGGACTGGTGGGCAGGTCGGAGCTGCTCAGTGCCAGCTCTGATGCCATCCTCTTGCTGCTGACCGTCCTCCAGAGCGGGTGAAGAGCAGCTGTCAAAGCGGGCTGGGTCGGGAGAGAGTGTGCCAGCTTGCTGATGTTAAAATGCTTTACTTTTAGCAGGAAAACAGAGACTGCACAGGACTTTTCACTGCGCTCCTAACTCCAGATTATGAGCTCTTCCTTGGCACAGTCTTTTGCAAAGATGCATCGGATCTCTTTCTCCTCTCTTTACAAGTGAATTTCGGCGGCCTTGGATTTCAAACATTTAACACTTTGGTGACTCCTCATGAGCAGACATCATCGTGGTCAAACGGGTGAGTGTAACGTAAAAGAAGTGCGCTAAATGCTGCTGACACAGATCGAACTGAGAGAGCGTTTTTAAACTCGACACACTACAGTAGAGTTTAAAAGCATTGCTGAGTTTTATAGCTTCCGTGACGTCAGGTTCGGAGGAAGCCAATGGGGTCGCTGAATCTCAGAGCTCGTTAACATATGGGTTCGGAAACGAAAACTTTTCTCGTCAGCTGACTGTCATTTTGGAAATGCAGGGGGAAAGAACTGAATGGAGGTCGAAAACTCTTGCTTTTTTCCCTTTTCAAAATGTTAAATTCTATTATTTTACTTTAGTATACCACGTGTGTGTGTGTGTGTGTGTGTGTGTGTGTGTGTGTGTGTGTGTGTACTGGTTTATATATCCTGGTGGGGACTTAAACCTGACTACACACAGACTCATGGGGACTCATGTCCTCATGTCGACCTAAACTGAGGTCCCCACGGGTACAAAAGCTTATAAATCATACAGAATGAAGTTTTTTGAAAATCTAAAAATGCAGAAAGTTTCCTGTGAGGGGTAGGGTTGGTGTAGGGCAATAGAATATACAGTCTGTACAGTAGAAAAACCATTACGCCTATGGAGAGTCCCCACAAGGATAGCTGGGGGGGGGGGGGGGGGGGGGGGGGGGGTTCTTGTAATATTATGCAGTTTGCAGATACGTCAGGAGGTTAACAACTGATTTTTTTCGACCTAATCATTATAAAATAATTACTAAATTAAGTTATAATACAACATTATTATTGTTAGAATGAAAATTAAATAATTCCAATTAATACAAGTATTTGTAAATAATTAAAGTTAAGTATCTTCTTGGATAAATGGGCCTTTTGGAAACTCAACAGTGCCCCCTTTTGGATAAAAAGATAATTCTGTGTGCGTGTACGTTTCTACTAATTTGTACAGGAGTGAGTTAAATCTGACAAAACCTCCCAAAGGTAATTTTGTGTGTTTTACATCCACATGTGTAAAAACTGTAACAATGAAGTAAATACAGTTTTATTTTAGTAGTTATGTTATAGTATTTATAACTTGCTCAGTATTAAAACAATAGAAGTGTGTGTGTGTGTGTGTGTGTGTGTGTGTGTGTGTGTGTGTGTGTGTGTGTGTGTTGGGGGAGGAGGGGGATATACCCAGCCGTTGTATAATGTAATCAGACCTATTGGAAAGTGAAACTTCATATTCACGTTTATGTAGATATGAATGAATGGGATATGGCATTACAGTTTCAACAATACAGAGAGAACATACTGTATATAATGATAATAAAATAATAATCATTTGTAGTTGTACTTATACTGAACACAACATCATTCACATGATAGTATGTACTATTCTTTTCAGAATGGACAATCATATGGAAAACAAGCATGATCTACTGTAGTTTACTGTACAAGTGTTTTATCAAATACCTAAAATGTGCATGGTCTGTTAACATCATAGTAACATCTTTTATTTAAGTAAAATATATAGTTTAATCTGACTAAATCAATCTCATTATATTAGCTATATTTCTAAATCAGGTAAAAATGTATCGTAATGGTAACAACTGCAGATTTTCACTCAAAAGTGCACTCCTTTCACCCTAATTCAAACCTGAACTACATTAGGAGGTAGTTCAGTGATCAGCCAACTGATTCAAGCATAGATCAAGAAAACAGCTATAAAACTTGTTTATCAGTTCTGTGAGATCTGCCTCATCTAGTCATATATTAAACTACTCTTCTGTTCATTGCTCTTTTACTGGAGGTCAGGGGTCGATTACAGCAGTATTTCTTAGTTTTTCTGCCTTTTATTTTTTAAGTATTCAGTTAGTAGGAATACAGTATAAAGTCATTTTTGCTTTGCATAATATACATGTCTGATTAATTATTGATTCCGTCTTGATCTTCAATTTCATGATTCTTACACTATTGTTTTTCCAGAATTTCAATTAACAGCTCAGTGTCATGCTCTGTAGAATAGTAAAAAAAAAAAAAATCCATGAGGATATGTCCATGCACTGATAAGTTGCCCATTTAGGAAAACTCTTATGTGACTTGTGTTAGGCTTGACACTGCACCAACCATTTCATACCCTGCACAAAAGCCTATAATCATTTACTCGGTATCTTTTCTGGCAAAGTCTGCAACCTCATGTTAGGGATCCTTGGTATTTTTAGAGGTTGGACTGAGACGAGTGTAATGATCTGTCTGACTGCTGGCAATGAATGATTACATCAATAGCTGTTACTGTATGCGTATGTGCACTGTATTTGCATTAGCCTAACTCTGCATTTGCTCTTTATAATGCTCTGACAAAGCAATGCAGTTGCTAAGTTTGTTGAACTTTAATTACATTAGTGAATAAAAAAGATACATTAAAACTAAGAATGCACTTTACCATATAGTGTTTATTATTTCACAAAATTAAATAAAACATTGTATTAGAGACAAAAAAAAAGAGTATGCAGTGACTAATGGCAAAGTTTGGCAAAAACTGTGCCTCTTAACAGCACAGAATCATAGGAGTTTAACCTTTTGCTTTGCTTAATTTTGTTTCAGTTTTGTATAAATTAATGACTAAACCTTACATTGTGCTCTAACTAGTGATTTTCCAGGTGTCAAGCTATTTTTTCTGACCACACTGAAAATGAAAATGCTGACTGACACCACACAATCAAATGTAGTGTTTAATGAATAACTGTGTGGAGTATGATTTTGGACCAATGAGATTTAAATCATTTTGTCCATTGATTCCATTCAGTAACACATAGCATTTGAATATTAGATTGCAATTGGAATATTAATACTGCTTATTTACATTATTATTTAAAAAATAACAAGTTGCAATCTGCAAATATCACAATAAATAAATAAATAAATAAAAACATACATACATACATTTTATTTATTATTTATTTACTATGTATTTTGTGTTACATAGAAATCCAACTTCCTAAAGTACATGGTGTATATAGTGTAAAATTAAATGATTTAATTTAAATGCTGTGTTGCTTGCATTGACTTTACATATGGATAGTGTATTTTCTACTTCTTCTCAAACCACACAAACACCCACACTGTGTGCTTACCCCACAGTTCAACCACAAGTGCAACAAAATGCCTCGGCAAATTACAGTAATCTCGATTCTGTCAAAGCACATTTGTGAGAAAATGAAATGAAAAAAAAACAAAACAAGATGCATAAGAGGCATCAGGGACTTCTTCAAGGAGAGGATATGACTCCATGACCCCAAAGTCACTTGCAATCTAGCAAAAGCCCAAATCATGACAGCCCTCATTCTTAATAATAATAATAATAATAATAATAATAAACAGGATGGAACAGTTACATGTGAAATTGAGGAAAATGAGTCTTTCAACATATGGAATGAAGTCACCCGTACATATGGATAGTGTATTTTCTACTTCTTCTCAAACCACACAAACACCCACACTGTGTGCTTACCCCACAGTTCAACCACAAGTGCAACAAAATGCCTTGGCAAATTACAGTAATCTCGATTCTGTCAAAGCACATTTGTGAGAAAATGAAATGAAAAAAAACAAAACAAGATGCATAAGAGGCATCAGGGACTTCTTCAAGGAGAGGATATGACTCCATGACCCCAAAGTCACTTGCAATCTAGCAAAAGCCCAAATCATGACAGCCCTCATTCTTAATAATAATAATAATAATAATAATAAACAGGATGGAACAGTTACATGTGAAATTGAGGAAAATGAGTCTTTCAACATATGGAATGAAGTCACCCGTAAGAGAAAAAAAAGCGGGTAAAACTGAATAAACTTGGCACTGTGAGTCAAGAGCAAGTAGGAAGAGATCCAGAACAATCAACCAAGGGTGGTGTGCAACACAGGCTTTTTGGAAAAATATTCGTATTGCCCTTGTCCATACTTATTTGTGTTTCCCCTTCAGGAACTCGAGCTGCGTCGGAAACGCTTTGGGAATGCCACCAGCATGACCATGCTCTGAATCACATATGAAATCAGTCCAATAGATGGGCGAGTGACATTGCGACCAGGAAGCTATAAAAGCACGTGCGGTGGAACCGGCGTTAGCTTTTTGTCATTCAGCAAGCGCTCTGTGTGTGTGTCAGTCGCTATCTGTTTGTGAGTCTTATTTAGTGTTGTTTGTCCACTTATAAGCTCCATTATGCCAAGCTTCAGCAAAAAGAAGCATTTGGGCGAGAGCAGACAGCATTCAGGCTGTGTGTTCCTCCCTGCCCACGCTATATTTCGGGTGGGGACACACACAGTTTGTGTGTTGTCTGCTTGGGAGCGAAGCACTCAGAGTCAGCTCTCTTTGAGGAGGGAGCCTTCACCGGCGTTTCTCGTGGCGCCGGCCACGATTTCGCCGAGGCGGAGCGGCGGCTGTGCTCGTGGGGTTTGCATATGGATCCGGTGGAGGGAATATAGACGGGCGGGTCCCTATCCCTATACAGAAGCCCGCTCTGCGGTTCTTTTATCCCCGGTGAGAGGGCTCGACGCTCTGCTTGTCTTCCTCCAAGGAGGTTGATATGGAGAGCATCGATGAGCTCGCCAGTTGCACAAGCATCAGTTACACAAGCATATTATGTCTATATTATTATGAGCAGCATTTACTGGGGAGTGGAGCTCGCACAGTCAGCTCTTGGAAATAAGGGGCTGATTGTGCTTCTCCCCGCTGAACACTCTGCTCCCGCCGGGCATGCTCCGAGGAGTGTGTCCGTGCTTGCGAACTCACGGTTCGGTCCCACTATTGCTGAGGCACGACGCGATTCAGATCGTGGGGATCGCACGTGGATGAAGCGGATGGGTTGGAGAAGGCTCACCCTTTCTCCGCCTGCACTCCCTAGATCCAGCTCTCACTCTCGAGGCTCGATAAAGGGGCAAAAGCTTACCGGGTTCTTCCGTCGGTCTTGCACTCTCACGCCTCTGTGACTCCAGGGCATCCACATACTCAACCACATCGATGATCGGTTGATATTAGCTCAATCTGAGCAGATGGTGCTCACTTGTAAGAGCTGGGGTTTAGACTTAATGCCAAGAAAGTGTGCTTTCTCCAG